TTGCATGCAAATTATTTATCAAAAAAATTGAGCTAATGGATAGTCTTGCCTTCGATATAGCAAAGAAATTAGAATTGAAACCAGCACGATATCCAATGAGAAAAACTTCGCTAAAATCATTATTCATAAGCGAAAACAGGACAGAATTTAATGCTAATCTATGGATGGATCAAGTACCGAGGAGAGTGGTCCTTGGAATGGTTAAGAATGCCGATTTTGTTGGATCTCAAAAGACACATCCTTTTAATTTTCAACATTTTAATTTACGAGACATTTCCATAACTGCTGGGGGAGTTACTTTTCCAGCTGCCCCGTATTCTCTTGATTTTCCAAATGGGAAGTATGTGCGAATATATCATGATATGCAGGAGGCTATAGGATACGCGGGGACCTTAGAAAGTAATGGAATTTCAATGCAACGTTTTTCAAATGGGGGATTTTGTCTGTTAGTATTTAATCTTACTAATAGTCAGGAAGATAATGGACCGGAGATGTTTGATTTAATAAAGAATGGTACAACTAGTATAAAAATGACCTTCAATGAACCGGTTCCAAATGGTGGGATTGTGCTAATAGCTATGGGTGAAATCGATTCACTGCTAATGTTAGATAGAAACAGAACAATTTCCACAGATATTTCAGTATAAATACTCGTAATTTTTTTTCATTTTTTCTCAATTTCATTCAAAAATGTTCCATATTACTATTAAAATTGAATTTAGCTTTGTTTGTATTATTTTATTTTTTCTTCTGTATAAATTATCACTACAATATTCGATGATTAATGAAAAGGATAATCTTGAATACAGAGAAAAATTAAGAGAACGTATAGGCTATTACGCAAATACAATACCTCCTAAATCAATCGAACTTATTAATTCGTTTTCAAAAAATTACCCAATAATTCCTGAAAGAGTTCAAAATAACACTAGACTAGTCTCTAATTCTAATCCTAAAACCAATATTAATATTTTGGATTTTTCATCAATGGAACATGTGAACAATGTACAATTTCCTTCACTTTGCAAGGAATTTCCATCATCAGGAACATCAATCGCTCAAACTATTTACTGCATATTATTGATTATACTCTGGCTATTATTGTTAGCTATAGTTTTAACATATCAACTAAGAAGATTAATAAAGAATAAAAACGGCAGCAAGGACGTTGAACTTGGAGAAGTACAAAGAGAGATATAAACATCTCCTTCATCAACAAAAATGGACACTTTACAAATCGAGAAAATTTTATTACACAACAGAATAACTAAAAGATATTTTATTGGATGCTTTGCAGCAGACAAAGTCCCACAAGAAATTAAAAGATACCCTTGTTCAATGGTCGTCAACCTAGAAAAGGCTTCTCAAAATGGATCACATTGGATTGCATTTTTCATAATGAACCCTGAGAAGATACTTATTTTTGATTCATTATTACTCCCCAACCCCCCTTCAAAACCCTTTTTTACCTACTTGTGGTCAACATTGTATCACCTTCATTTATTTTATTTCTTCTGGATACACTTATAAAAAATTCCTATCCTTATTATTAAATTATTCAAAGCCAGACGAATTTGTTTTTACTTTTATTATTAAAATGATAAAAAATATATAATAAATTTTCAAAATTTAAATTAAAATTTAATCATTCTGTTAAACATTAGAGTAATAATTACAGTTCCATGATCAAATTTCACAAGACTTCCATTCATCCATCTTAGCTCAATTTCAATCTCGTTAATCTCTCTAGGCAACACTGGTATGAACATTGGTTGATCATACACTCTTTCAACAACTCCACCAGATCTATTCTCGACAGCTACAATTCTTAGTAATGAACTGACAGAATTTCCCATAATTACAGTTCCCGTTAACCCCTTTGAATAAACAGCAAAACTTGTGAATCCTCCTTTAAGATCAATTCCATATTTTCCAATTTGGCCGTTTACCAAAGGCCCCATGGGGAAGCCGAGAACATAACATAATTGTGAAGATATTGTTATATTTCTAATCTCAGGATCATTGAAAATTACTCTGAAGCGATCAATGCTGTCCAAATATTCAAATTCAATGTCCGAATGTAAATCTCTTAAGTGAGATTCCTTTTCATCAATCATTTTAACTGTCTTTTCTTTAATTAGATCATCAGTATTTTTCTCATCCTTTTGCTCCTCAAATATCTCTTCAGTTGGTATAATCTCTTCTGAGGAATCCAAATCTAAAACTGGACTTTTTCTGCTTTTCTCCTCCCAATCTTCTTGCTCTTTTTCGAAACTTTCTTCCTCAGCTAAATCTTCCTCTTCAGCACTTTGCGAGTCAAGTGGTATAGGTTGTTCATGCTTATCTATCCTTCTTGCATGCTTCAATTTCTCCTTGCTTTCTTTCAGTTCTTTATCCTTTCTTTCATTTTCCTCTGATTCTCTGACCTTGTCCTGCTCATATCCATGTCTGTCCTTAACAACTTCAAGCATTTCATCTGTAATTACGGGAGCAGGAATTGGCACTGGTTTGCCTTGATCATCTTCTTTTAGGGCATTCTCTATATATTCTGGATGAGTTTTCTCTTCAATTTTTTGCATTTCCTTAATTTCATTTTTAGTTGGTGGAATTGGCAGCTCAAAATTTTTCCATTTCTTGTAGGCCGCATGATGTATCGCTGTAAATCTATTTCGTCTGTATGAAGCCAATTTATTTAAATTGTCAATCTCCTTATTTAATTTATTCTTTTCTTCTTCATCTTGTTCTTGGGAATGTAAATCTCTTTTTTCTCGAATTTGTCTGTGTAATTCCTGCAGATCACCTAAATTTTTCTTCAAAGCTGCCCAATGATCTTCAGGGTGGTCGTCAAAAAATTTTTGGACAAATTCTGAGTGAGTATTTGAATTTTGCTGATTAAACTCATCTCTAGTAATTTTCAACTCTCTTTCAATTATTGCTGATTCGAGTGCTTCCAAGTTTTTTCGCATACGTTTTATTGAATTAATAAACCTTTGAATTTCATGACCAGTACGAAGATTCTTGCCACCCTCTTCCCTGCTCTCTTTAATTTTATCTTCTAGTTCAATGTATCTTACAATTATATTTATTTCCATCTTTATTACTTGTTCGTGATAATCGTCTGGATGCTGTTCCAGAAACTGATTTGCTATAAATCGATCATCAAGCCTATCTCGCATATTAGCCTCCTCTGTTAAAAGACGAATTTCCTTCTTCTTACCTTCTGAAAGGGATTCTAGGTGTTCAAGTTCTTGCTGAAATTCTTCCTTCTGTATATCATCTTTCTCATTAATAACTTGTTTTGTTTTTTCCTCTACTTTAACTTTATGTTGTTCTAACTCTTGCTCATAATCGCGTATGGCTTCCCAGTAATTGTGAGGATACTGGTTAAAAAACTCCTTTACCCATAATGGCACGGTATCTCTATCTGCCTCTCTCTTTCTTCGTTTCTTAACTGGGTCCGCCACTAAATTAATTTCTGGGTCAATGATAATTTCATCCTCTAAAGTATCGATTGATACATCACGTCTTTTCCTAGGTTTCTCTTTATTGGATAATACAAGTTTTAAAAAGAAGCTGAGTCCATTGGGTGTTAACTGTGTTGTTTTAGGAATTCCAATTCTATGCGGTTTCTTTTGATTGTAATTAATTTCGATCCATTGTTTAACGTCAGTGCCAATGGTTGCAGCCCATGACTGGGGGTATTGGATACTGTAGAGCCCACATACCCAGTTTCCACCTTGAAATTCTATTGGCTTAGGGAGATGCACTCTGTATTTATTGGGTTTATTATCTGGGTAATCGCTAACATTACTAGGAAGAACAACAAAGAATGTATTGGCCATTATTTATTTCAATAATAATTATGAACAATAAAATGAAAATTAATTTAAAAATGTAAAAATGATTTATGGGGAATGAAAAATTTGCCTTTTATACAAATTGATTTTTATCTATCCAATGGGGTTGGGGATAATCAAAAAATTTTACAAGATATTCTTTTCCTCCATCTTTTTTCTTTCTGCTCTTAATAATCTTCTCAATTCTGTAACTAGTATTCTCGTCTTTCTTCACTCGTGTTAATTCCTCAGGGTAGAAATATCCTTTAAACAATTCTCCATTATCGTCACGGACGCGGTATCTATTTGGATTAGCCTTATTTTTAACAAGATCTATTTGAAGAATTTCATCACTATAATTTGGGAGATAACCTTTTGAAAATATATTTTTACTTCTGCACATACGGACATAATCATTTTCCTTGAATCTTGGATTTTTTCGAGGTTTATTTTTGCCAATAGGACCAAATACCATTTCTCTGATTTCCTTTGCATTGTTAAAGCTTACATCAACTGGTCTTAATCCTCCTAAAACCCTACACTTTGAATGATTTATTGCGTCAACTATTTTCGGTAATGCTTCTGCCCATTTTAATGTATGCTTCTCACTCATAAACCTGTACAATCTCTGTTTAATGTTCCGAATACATCTTTCAGCTAGAGATGCTTTGACTTCTGAGAAAGTTGCCGTGTATTTTTCAATATCTTTTTTTCTAAAAAAGTCCATAATTTCTTTGCTGCAAAATTCTGTTCCCTTATCGCTAAAAATTCGGTGGGGGTGCATTTCCATTCTTGCCAAAATTTTTTCAAAAGCATCAATCATATCATTCGATTTTTTAGTGCGAACAGGTTCAGCGAAAACTCTTTTACTTAAAACATCTATTGCAACAAGTGCATATTTCTTTCCATTATTTTGCCGCGATAACTTTTGAAAATCTGCCAAGTCGCACTGAACATCTGTCATATATCCAGAAGGATAAGTTATTGATCTTTTAAAGTGTATGCGTCTAGGACGGTGAATTGTATAAGTTCTATGACCTTCTAAATATTCCTCAACATCTTTCTTTTTAATACTTACATCTTTTTTTCTAGCCTCTGTCCATAGTTGGTTTACACCAGCAAATCCTGCCGGATTTGATGGATCATTGTAAAGCTTATCTAAAATCATTTCCACTCTGCGGGAAGTCTCCATTTTGATTCAGCTATTTCCTTGGATTCGGGTATTTTTCTTTTTTGTTTTGAATAAGTTCTTTTTGGTGTACAATGCTCCCTAGCCTTCTCTATCAACGGCCAAATTTTATTATCACTTTTTAATTTATTTTCTAAAACAGATGTTCCAGGTGGTGTCAATTCTCCCCATCTTAATTTCCCACTTATTCCAGTTCGAAGAATGCACTCTATAGATTTTTGAGCATTGCTTCCCTGTATTTCTTTTCCTCCCTTCTTACTTAAAATCTTTCCATCTGTGCTCACGTCATATTTATCAAGATTTTCTTGCTTCATATTTTCAAAAATCTCCTTTGTTTTTTCTTTTATTGTTGTGCTTTTTGGCTCCATCCTTCTATTGGAATCGGGAGATTCCTCTTCTGCCGTGTGCATACTAAGGTCATCTTCAGTATTTTCATCTATCGGGGACAATTTTGATGCGGTAATATTTTGCCTAAAAGCTATTTGGGGGCTTTCGGTTACTGTACGGTTTTCATTGGAGCTTGTTTGTAGTAGGGGAAGTAATTTTTTAATTTGCTCCAGGGCTGGATCTTGCATTTGTCCTATTGAAACATTCATTGGTCTATCATTTTGTTCCTTCAACATATGTAAATACCGTCTCAATTCCTGATTATAATTTATATTTTTTAATTCTGTGTTGGCATTTTGTCTTTTAATAGTTTCCAAATTTTCTCGAGTAAAATCCAAATTGATATTTCCAGTTTCTGGTGTAGGTTGAGTAAGTAATCCACGATATATATCCTCAGGAATTAATATAAATTTATTTGCCATTTTTATAAATTGTTTGTCAATGTTTTTGTTAATTCAATAATGATTGGTGTTAGGAGGGCAGGAAATAAACCAATTGGTAAACCGCTACCTTGTTGTATTACCGTACGCCGGGCGCCTTTTTCTGTTTTTAATCTGCTCACACGGCGAACAAAATCAGCGAATGGTAGAAGACGAGATTTTTGCCTTTTATTTAGTTTAAATTGATCGCGTACTATATTGAAACAAATTTCAGTGAGGGAGAGTAACTGATCTGTTGAAGCTTTTTTCAAAAGTTTTCTTCTTTTAGTTAATGAGCGTGTTTTTGCGAGTTGTTTGAGAAATTGTAAATTGTCTTTAACAATTCGGCTAATATTCATTGACATGATTTAATTTGAGGAATTTTTGGGTAAAAATATAAAAGGCAATGAATAATAATTGTCTTCTGTTTCTTTGTCTTTAAATATATTTGCCCTTAATCTAAGTATTGGATCTGATGATGGGTGTAAATCAATAAAAAGATACGAATAATTACTGCTGCTTGTAGCTTGTCGATATGCGTCTAGAAAATAATTTAATCTTCCTGGGAATAATTGTACTCCCAGATTTCGAACGGCCAATGCACTATTTGGTGCGCGAGTTAACACAATATACATAGAATTTTGTCGTGCGACCCTAAGTTTTTTCTCGAATAGATTCTGAGTGATGAATATTATGCCAAAATTAAGATGATGAGATTTCTTTGTGAAAAGTTCCGATAAATATTTTTCGTCAATTGAGTACATTAGGTCATCAAGAATGATTAGTGAAGGTTGTTCCTGTTTCTTAATAAGATCCTCAGGGGGAACTCCGGAATAGACTGAGACTCCAACTCGCTGCAGCTCGGGTACAAGAGAATTATATTCCCCATAGCAGTAAAGAATGGATTTTGGAATAGGTTCAATAAGTTGATGAGAATTAGAAATTAATTTTCGGACAAATGTACTTTTTCCTGTTGAACTTGGGCCGCTAATAATACAACCGAATGGAAGTTTTAATTTTAAATCTTTATTTGAAAATATCTGATAGTTCATGTTTGAAAATGTATTGAAAATAAAAAAAATAAAAAATGATTAATGATTAATGATTATGAGTTGAAATTGAATTATCTTTTCCTTCTAATATATTTTCTTTATCTTTTTTCTTTTCTCGTGCTTCTTCTATCTCTAACTTTGTTTTCTTGTGTGAAAACTTCGATAAAAATTCCTCGATATTCATTTGCCCACCTCCTTTGATAAAATCTTTTTCATTCCACTTTGGCTCCCTATGAATAATGTTGAAATTCTTCCCTCTTGATTTAACGCGAAAAATACATTGTTGTGGAATTTCGTAGATATGGTCAAACATTACAACTTTTTCTGATTTTAGGCGATTGCAATATAAGGTTACATCCTTTGGAGTAACAATAAAATCAATGTCCACATTTTCCCCTTTACAACTTTTACATTTCCCTGCCAAGTCAAACTCCACAAAACGTGCTGTCATGAGCCGTGGTGAAGAAATTGTCACCCCAGACGAAGACACTGTAAATAAAACCTCAGGGATGACTTTTTCCATGAGTTGACAGTTAGTCTCAATTACTGACATATTTTAATAATTTCTAAATGAATTCAAATTTTTAATGATAGTTTGATAATAAGGAATGTTTCAGTATTTATACACTAAAGAGGGCGTGGCTTCCGAAAAAGGGGATTTTAAATTATGAAATGAAAATTACTTTGTTTTAGCTAATAATAAAGGTAATTCCAGAATTTTAATTTCAAATTAAATTATTACATTTATTGAAATTCATATTAAAGTAACAAGTTTATGTTAAAAATACTTTTTTGAAACTTTTATTCACTTTTTAAAGTGTGTGACTTATTTCATCCCAATCTGAAACAAAATCTTTGAGCCGTATATTTAATTTCGCGCAGCCTTCACAAATTTCAAAACAAATTCCAATATTTCCATTCTCCTTCTGAGTAAATTTATTTTTATCATAATAAAGCGCATTTGCACATTTTTTGCAAATTCTTATTTCAATCTTTGGGGTATATTTCATGCGCACAATTTTCCACAGTATACGCGGATTTATTCCATGTTTCTTCTCAATTTTTGCATTGCTTATTTTAAATGAAGGAGATTTTGCATTATTTGTTGTTTCCGTATCCTTTTCTATCTCTATTTCAATAATCTCTTCCTTTTCATTCTTTCGATCATTGATTAATTCAATTTTTGGGATTTTTTCATTTTCCAATCCGCTCATTTTTTATTTCTTATTTCAAATTTAACTTTCAATAAATAAGTGAAGAAACAAATACGAGTGGGTAATATATTGTCTTTTATAATTTAACAAACCCCACCCTGTCCGAGATTTCGTAATAGTTGCCTAAATTTTCATATAAAAAGGCAAAATCTTCTATAAACTTATTTGTTTAAAAGACATTTGATCATTTAAGTAAATATTCTAAATTAATCGATAAAAATGAATTCGATTTTGAATGATATTTCGAAAAAAATGAACTGCCCAAATTATCTTGTGAGATATAGACTAATGTGTAAAGAAAATGCCGATATGATCTCAAAATTCATAAATGAAAAAGGAAAAATAGAGACAACTTATTCAGATAGAAATGGATTGAAATATACAATTAGATGTGATGGAATTACAACATCAGGAGCTCATTTAATCAAAGCATTTGGCGATGTAAGTTATCCATTTAATATATCGGTTGCGGCATACTTCTTTGCACATCATAAAATAAAACTCCAATATCCGTTTCATCAATGTGTTATAGTAAGAACTTGTACAAAAAATGGAATTTGCGAAAGATACTTCCCGCTTGAGCTTGTATGTTTTGCTCCTACATCACCTCCGTCACCCCCGTCAACAATAAGCGGTTTAACATTTACAGCACGGCAAACACATGCTGCTTCGTCTACATCAACGACTAGTCTAGATAGTATTCCAATATCCATAGAAGACCAACCATCTACACCCACTAATGGGAAATCTAGACCAGGGATATTGTGGATTGAAATAGAAGGTAAACCCAATCAATGGGAAAAACGCAATATTTTGATTAATTAATTTAAAATTTTTATTAAATATTAAACAATTTATAAATTTACATAAAAAATGATCATTAATATCAAAAATAAAAAATTATTTTTAAAATTATTACAAATTTTTGAAAAAATCTATAATATTTGAAATGGGAGGTTCATATAAAAATCTCCATCTTGAATACATTATGTAATCTGTTCTATTATGTTTTCCAAATTTGAACTTGTTGTCCCAAAGGTCCCAACGTAGAATCCAACGCCCCATATTTTTTATTTCAACTTTTCTTGCTATATCGCTCTTCTTCAGATGAATGATGTCCTTTACAACCCATTTCATAAATAATGTTTCCCTTCCATCAGTGTTATTCAATGAACTATTGTTTAATTTACCGACTCGTCTGAATTCCTCTGATTTATTTATATCTCTGTTAGAAAATATTGGTGGCGGTGTTCTACGCCATATTGGTATTTCCACTGAATTATTTTTATCTCTGTTAGGAAATATTGGTGGCGGTGTTCTCCGCCATATTGGTATTTCCACTGAATTATTTTTATCTATGTTAGGAAATATTGGTGGCGGTGTTCTCCGCCAGATTGGTAGTGGCGTCCTCCGAAATAATGTTGTCACTAATTCTCTCTCCCTGGTTTTATCGTCCGAACTCTCTACCACTAAGGACAGAATAGATATGTATATTATTGAAAACATTAACATTTTAAAAATATTTGGTGGAATAATGAAAGAATTAATAATTTATTCAAACGCCTAGTTTTCAAGAAATTTTTAATTTAAATAGCGATATTTTATTTTTCAATACTAAGTAATGAATGTTTATGTAAAATAGATTTTTTATTATGAATGAATTTTAATATTCAGATGAGGTACAAAATACCTTTTTAGGTAAGTACTTCTCACATACTAACAACCTCACTCTACCATTTTTGTCTATTTTTACTTAACATATGTCATATTCCCTTAACTTTGCATCAATTGTATCTTTTAATGGTTAACATTGCATTAATTTTATCTCCTAATGCTTAACTTTGCATTTTTACCCCCAAAACCTGCATCTTCCATTAGTTAACTTTGTAATAATTGTACTTTCTTTCCATTAGCTTTGCATTAATTGTATCTTCTTATTCTTAATTTTGAATGAAATTTATATTTGTTCCTAAAATTACAGCAAATTTATCTTGTCATTCTTAACTTTAACCAAGATAGTGTGTGCGTACGCACATTAGAATTGCCGCACACATGCACCCCATAAGCATGCCTAACATGTTTTGACATTTTGTCACTTTACATTTTGAAAGTTGGCATTTTGCCGCTTGACATTTTGAAAGTTGGCATTTTGCCGCTTGACATTTTGAAAGTTGGCATTTTGTCGCTTGACATTTTGAAAGTTGGCATTTTGCCGCTTGACATTTTGAAAGTTGGCATTTTGTCGCTTGACATTTTGAAAGTTGGCATTTTGTCGCTTGACATTTTGAAAGTTGGC